GGCACTCACCTCTAGCCATAGAATCCTGTCTACTGGGAATACCCACAACTCTATGCCTGAGGATTTTTTTCGGATCACAAGAGCATGGAGCTCCTGTGCACAGAACAAGTCAGAAGGGCCAGAGAGTTAGTGTCCCAGAATTAGCCTTCAACCAGTGAGGAACAGCAAGCTGGTTTATAAATAGCCCAAGTTCCCAATCTCTTGACACCTTCGAGGTGTGTTCTTATTGTCTCCTACAGTTGTCCACTGAGACCGAACTCCAGTTACCCACAGTGGTAACTGGCTTAACAACACACTCTTTTGGGGCCCCCCTCCCTTCCCTGGTTCACTTCTCCACTCCCCTATCCGTGTTTTCCAAGACCACATTCTAAATAAATGACTTGCTTTTGAATCCTTATATCAGGGTTTGCTTCTGGAGGAATCCAAATCAAGATAGGTGTGTATATGGTGGGCAAAGTTTGTGCTAAAAAGGATGGTTTTGACTTATAAACGTAAGTGCCTTGCTGAAGAATTACTGGGCAGCTCTAGACTTCACATAACTCCCACTGACACAGTCACCATTCAGGTAAATTACACCCTCTTGTGAATCCACATTTCCTCACCCAATCTATCACATGTCCATCACTTCATGGAAGTAAGACTCATACTTCTCAGGCCACTATGGTTTTGTAAATTGCTGAGGCAGTTAGTATTTGTGACAGCTTGTGGCTTTGAATGTCCACACCTTGCCGCCACTGAGATGGGCTGAGCTCACTGAAAGTAGGTTAAAATAGGAAGAAAAAGGAATTAGCATTGGACAAATTAAGCCAAGGCACAGGAAAGAGGTGTAAGTAATTTTCCTTTGGAGGACAATCCTTACAGCCTTTATTCTTTTGAGTCACAAAACTATCACAGCTAGTGTTAACAGAGTAAAATTTACATACTTTTAGAGATGTGCTATAAATTTGAACAATTTTGAAAGCCTGGCCAGGAAAGGAGTTTGCAAAGCACATTAGAAACTAACTACATAGCGTTTTACCTAATACACAAACCAAACCAGTATTGACTTCATGGAAGTGGTCCTGACTCAGAGCTCGAACACTCCCGTCTTGCTATGTCCCAATTACTAGTAAGAGGATGCTGCTTAACTGCCATCGCAAAGATGTAAATTAAAATCACTTTCAGGACAGGAAGATAATTTTACTTCTGATGAAAAAAGGATGTATCATATAATGACAGAATGGGTTTCATAAGCTCATTTTGCCCAAAATAATAGATACGAAGAAAGAATGATATATTTTTAGTCATGAATGTACCAAACATGCCTTATTTACTGGGAAGAAAGTGGGTGGGGTGATAGAGAGAGAGAGAAGGTGAGGTGGGGGAAGAAGAGGGGAGGGAGGTGGCACTTGGAAGGAGGGTGAGGACTAGCTAAGGAGCTGAGGGCTGGTGTGAACGATGTGGTTTCTGCTGTTGGATCAGAGCCAACTGAAGCAGCTTGTGAAGCCTCACAGAGACTGACAGTCAGTCCCGGGCCTTTTAGAGCACAATTAAGCACAAATGGATAGAACCGGTGTGTGCTTGGGCAGGGGGTGGGGTGGGAAACCAGTTGGTTATCTGAACATTCAGGTTCCCGTGGTGAAACGCCTGCCACGTCCTCCAATGTCATGATAGAAATACGGCGGACAAACCCAGCAGCATCCTTTATTCATTTTCCCCTGAACAGAATGGATTTGCAGTTCAAAGTTTCACTTTTCCTTTCTGCTTTTTAGGGGACAGTATTGATGTCCTACCCAGATCCCCTGACATCCCTTGTACCAGGCTCTACACACCCATCCCTGGCTTCTGGGCGCTTTTCTGCTGATGGCTTGTACCTATGATCTTCAGAGATTTGCCTTTAGCATTGGAGCTAGAGGCATAGACATGCCTTAAAGTGTGTCTCTTTTGACCCCCAGTCCCAGTTAAATCTGAATTTCAGATAAATAATGAATTTCTAAAATAATTTTTAAGTATAAAAATATACTAATATTTATATAATATATAAATGAAAATATTTCATGGGGCATACTTTAAGAAGAGTTGTTTATCTGAAACTAAAATTCACCTGGGCATCCTGTATTCTTATTTGCTAAATCTGGAAACCCCATCTAAGGGAACCTATAGTCAATGACTGATTGGTATAGAAGTGCAATGGTTCTGCTCCACAAAACGGAAAAACCCAGAGATATCCTTTATGTTCCAGAATCCTGTGAGGATCAAGCTGAGTTTTTAAACTCAGACCTCCTCTGAGATAGCACATTGCTTATTTTCTTCCCCTTCTTTGCCCTGATTTTCTCACTCCCCTACTGGTTGCTCCTGGAATCATTTCAATTCATAAATTACTCACTTATGAATCCTTGTCTAAGGGTTTGTTTCTGGGAGAGTATGACTTAAGATAGGTATCTCACAAGTCATACCACATTGACAATTCATCAGTAGTCCCTAGCAACCAGTGAAGAGCAATTTGCCATGTTCCTCTGAGAGGTTGCTAAGCCTTGCCTTACCCATTTATCCATTTATACTGTTCCCTGCTTTGAAATTCCTGAAAAGAAAGAAAGTCTAAACAGGCATCTGCTAAAACATCATTTCCACCCTGATATGAGTTTTAAATAAGAATGCCCAAGCCCAGCTGCTCCAGGAAAAGAGCAATGAACTATGAAGAAATATGCACTGTGGAGGAGGAAGGGGAATTAATTGCTAAGCAAGGTCAGGTAATAGACCAAAAAGACCGGAATCTTGCAATCACTTTCAAGGAATTTGCTGTTCCTTATTCCAAATGAGTTACAGGGGAGGCTGCAGCTCTGTTTGCAGAACCTAAGCAGAAAAGAAAGCCTGCTACTTTTACTACTTGGCTTTGCAGAATGACTGCAGCTCCAAGCCAACAAACAGGAGTTAGCATCTTTAGGTAATGGGAGCGAAGAAAAGATAGGCCACCTCCTGCCCCAACTTTCTAAGGAATAATTTTGGGCTAATAATGTAACTCATCTCACTGTGGCCATCCATTAATGAGTCATCACTGTGATAAATACATGTTCTAGGAAAAGGACATTCTGCTCTACTGATCTCCCAACATCTTTACTCTCTTTCTTAATGGGAAAACATTGTTCTTGGCATGCTTGAGCCAAAGCACTCCTGACTACTGTATTCCATCTGTAAACCATTTCAGGTATTTATAATTTATAATTTAAAAGATAAAGGCTACTTAGGGACCACCTTCCAGTTTACAACAAGAAACCCCTGGGTCAATACACCAGTATTTGGTGAAAGATGTCCATATGGCTCTGTAGCCATCTACATAACTGTGTGTGTCCACTCAAAAATGGATTTTTTTCAATATTAAAGACTACAATAATACATGATCTGCAGTTGGTTGAATCCGTGGATTCAGAACCGCAGATACAGAGGAGCCATGGATACAGAGGAACCTGGGATAGGGAAGGCTGATTGTAAAGTTATACACAGATTTTTCAGCTGGGTAACGTCATGAAGAGGGTGGCACCTCTAACCCCTGCATTCTTCGAGAGTCAGCTCTATAGCCAGCAGCAGATAAGATAAAAGGAATAAAGCCAGGAAGACAGATTCTGGGAAAATAGGACCAGTACTGTGATACTGGAGACTGTGCCCCCTATTCCTGTTGAGTAACTGTTAAGACAGATTAATTTAAAATAGAGTAATTTAATTTTGTTTGTTGGGTCAGGAGACTTCCTCTGTTTTTAACAGGGAATTTCATCTTTATATATATATGTAATATATATACATATATATTATATATGTACACAATATATATGTGTATACATACATTATATATATACACACACATACATTATATATGTGTATATACATACATATATACACGTAGTGTCCCTTTTAAAAGCTAGCCTGAAATATGAGCCAAGATAGCTCAGCCAGAGTCTCCATGAGGCTGAGCAAAAATAACAATGCTAAGCCAGTTGCCTGTAATCTCTAAATAATTTTGATCACTGTCTGAGAATCAGGAGTTCAGCAATCAAAAATAAAAATGATATTTTTTTAATATAAAGTTTTTGTGGGACACCATAGGGATCTACCCCAAGGGAAGTCAAAGGAAACTATTTCAAGGACAAATGCAACCAGGTTTTAAAGGCTTTTTAAATCATAAAGGGAATATATGTACATTCTGGAAAATTTGGAAAATAGTGAATACAGTGGTAATCTTTTGATGGTGCATAATAAATGATTTCTTTTATGCTTATTTTTTTCTGTGCAGTTTTACATCAAGTGACACTAGTTTGCAGGAATGCTATCGGGAGAAAGGTACAGGTGTGGAGAGTACCTGCATCTCAGTGAAACACAAGGGTAGGTCTTTCTTCTCATCGCTGCCTTTGATAACGTACTAATCATGAACATGAGCCTTGACTTATGCACCACCAGGATAAAGAAAATCAAGCCTGATATGAAATGACTACAGTCTTGGCTATCCTTTTGATTTCTCTTTACTTTTGTTGACAAGGTGATAGCTCTACGCACAGGAGATGTGAGAGGCCTCCCACTGACAACGTGTTAGAGATGGTGGAACTAGAAAGAAGTGGAATGTACGGAAATTCTCCGAGGCAATTCAAATGAAAGGATTATTCATTTTTAAAAAGCAGCAAGGAACGTCTATGATACTTAGACTTTTCTTTTTCAGAAGCTTAAACAGCAAAACATCAAGAAATCAATGAAAATAATTTCTTTTCCCTGGTCTCTCCATTTGCACTGCAGCCCTGAGTCCCAAAACATCATCTTGTCTGTGGAAATAACACAGAGGATTTCAACAGCTGTAATTCAGAAGAAGTGTAAGAACTTTCTATTTCAACTAAAAAATATCCCCCTGGCTTTTCACGTTATATGTTAGGAGATCTCCAAGAGATACTACTTTACAGGTACCTAGAAGCACTATCTGGATGGAAATAAATCAACTTTATCCACAGGCTACCCCACTGCCCAGTCTGTATGTGTCTTACCTGTCTGAACCCGGGGCTGACTTTAAACTCCGAAAATTTTGGCCATCTAAGTCCAAGCTGTAGCTCCGCCCACTTTCAGTTTTTGGAGTTATGATTTCTCCTCTGGTTGCTGATCTGAACTTGCTAAGAAGAAATCTGAAATTATATATATATATATTTTTTTTAATTTAAAAGTAAGATAAGAAAGAAAGCTTTTAAAATATCATTTTAACAATATTATTTCTCAAACTTTTAGCTGTAAATAGTTCTTGTGTTTTGTTGTTGTTGTTAGTGGAGGTACTGGGGATTGAACCCAGGACCTCATGCACGCTAGGCATGCACTCTACCACTGAGCTATACCCACCCCCTCAACAGTAAATAATTTCCAATAAAGCAGATGTGGGGCTGATAAGTTCTGGGGAGTTCCCAGTGTGTCTGCAGTATAGCGTCAAAGGCAGTGGTAGAGGAGGTTAGGACATTCTCCCAAGGTCATACCTCCTGCTCGTTTTTCAGGCCTCTGTCCCTTCTAAGAAAAAGACCATTGACTTGGGAACTCAGCACTGTCACCTGAGAATGGCAAAGCATCACCGGGGCTGAGCCTGTTGACAGGATGCTGAGAAAAGGGAGCTTGAACGTACCTCGCTCAGAGAGGGGAGCTGGGATGACCCTCTGGGACAAGCCAAGGTAGTCACTTATTAGACTGCAGCTCCACGGAGAGCAGCAATTCTGTTCCTCTTGTTCCTGCCGGGTCCCCTGAGCTAACAATGATGCCTGGCACACACTAGAACCCAGCCAATTCTAGTGGAACGAGTGACTGCACCCATGTCTCCGGGGTAATAAGTTTGAACCATGGGAATAGCTCATACCAGATGAAATTCAACTGAATGCCTGTTTCACTAAATTATTTGGAACTTAAGCAAAAATAGCTTTTCAGAAACCAAGATTCAAGTCACGATCCAGGCTACTGAACGCCCAAAACATGAGTCTTTACAAATGCACTTTAATAAAAATCCAAAGCTATCTTCTTTTTGTGATGCTATTGGGAGAGACCGGTTTATTTACTTTACATTCTTGTGTAAGAGAGGCTTGGGGTCAGAGTGCAACGGAATAAGGGATGCCGGGGCAAAAGGCATTGTGGGAGTCCCGAGAAGTGACAAATGGGTTTAGGCTTACGGTAGGAAGGCTCAATACATGGGACGTATGGTCACTCTAAGCTATCTTTCCCATTCATCTCCGCTAATTAACAAAGACATGGTTAGTCATGAATGTTTGAGGTAAATGACATTTAGGTTTTATTTCTACTCACAGTTCAAGATTCTTAAAACAAAACAAAACAGACCTTCTGTAGAGACAGATGAAGGCTCAAGCATCAGCAGCCTCCCACACTGGCTTCTGCTGAGAGAACGAAGCAACACTACCCCAAAAGGGCCATAAAGTGACTTGGTCCAGATTAGGACTCGCTACCTCAACCACAACCACCAGCTGCCTGAGAAACGCGGAGTGCAAAACGCAGAGCTGTGTCCCAGAGCCTCCCTGAATCTTGCTTCCCTGGGTGCCTCCCATGCCGAGTCTCAGCACTTGACACATATATTTGCTTCCTGAATTCAGTTAGTGAGGGGGCCAAATGATTTCCTCCTTAAGGAGGCCTGCATTTTAAACAGGGGACACAATGCTTTCAGCCCAATGAAGAAAGCTTTAATCTGGATACTTCACACATCAGCACTCAGGTTGGGCAGGGAAGGGGCTGACATGCTACCACAAAGGCAGTTGTCACCTCTTTATAGACAAGACGGTTCCTAACACGAAACTTACCCAGAAGTAAAAGGAACCATCTGGTCCAAGATCAGATACATCAAATGAGAAGGAAAAAAAAAACCTCTTACATGGTCAGGTCAGAGGGGACCTTTATCTCAAACCAAAGTAATTAAAACTGCATTTCCTGAGGAGAATGATGGAAGAATGCTACCTCAGTCAAGTCTCCGACCTTCTCTGCGTCACTTAAGTGACGTGAGACTTGAAAAACTAAGGAGTCGATTTCAGAAGTGACTGGACTAAAGACCAAAAATTACCCTGAAAAGGCTGCGTCTTACCCCTTTCTCCGGGGTGCATCATGGCTGGCCTTCTGCCCAGCAGGTGAAATGTCTGACTTTTCTGCATTCTGACGAGTTAGCTCTTGGCTTTGTATTTCTTCAGCTCCTCATTAAAAACAATCAGAAGACAAATTTAAATACAAAGTGGCTAGAAATGAGAGCAACTTTCTCTTCATTCACTTGCTTACATTATCACCAGAGAAGTCTAAATAATTGGCAATGATGTCCCCATCCCAAGTTTTGCAGTCACATGGTTACTTCACATCTGTTGAGTGGTCCAGATTTAAATGAGGACTAAGATCGGGACTCATCCATGGGGGATTTGCTGAGATAAGCTTTCTAGGGATGACTGCTGTGGAGGAACTAGACATCTTCCCTCTACAGATATTTTTAGGGCAGGGGAGCCTGGGTTCATGAGAACTCCAAGTCCCTAGAGACTGAACTCTAGCATGGGATTCTAGAAACGATATCCTGGTTTTGGAGCACATTAGCCAGACTTCCCAGGAGGGCGAGCACCTGTGTACACACCTCATGACTTGAGAGACAGTGTACACTCCAGAAGGTGCTGTGGTTTCAGTGGAGAAAGTGGCCACAGTGAACTGCTTAATTCTAACTCCACCCCACTGTCCCTCTGTGGCATCAGATCTGATGCTACCCATCTGGGAAAGTCCTTCCTTGCTGGTGCGACATCCAGAAGTGCAGGCCCTGGAGTCAGTTCCAAGCCTCCCAGCTCTATCCGCCAGATTTAAAAATAAGGGCATTTGTCCTCAGTATGTGAAAGATGAGATGCCCTAGGAACAGACCAAAAGATGCCTGCTCCACCTTTACAACGGCATATATGAGAAATACGATCCTAAACACAAGTTTCATTCAATATTTAACCAATTAAATTGTAGTCTGGCTGCAAAATATAGCATTCTCAAGGTGGGGTATTATTTGCATTTGGTGACAGTATAATTCTTCATTGAGTGAAACTGTCCTGTGCATTTAAGACCATTGGCCATCATTAAATGCCATTAATTCCACCCCCCCACGCCCAGTTATTGGGACAACCAGAAATGCCCCCTAAATTTCTAAATGCTCCCCTAGCTTGAGAGGAGTGGGGTGCAGTACACAATATCACCCCTTGGTTGAGAATCACTGGATTAGACAAAGTAACATTTAAATGAAATCTGAAATACATCCTGTTGAAAAATCAAGGATTGCTTTCACAGTGTGAATCATGTAATTCATCTGTCTTATACCACTTTCTTAAATGTTTAGTAAAATACTGGAAGTACATTCAGGAAAGGAACTGTCTGTGATGAAGATAAACGCCTCCTCTGAAACTCATGCTACCGAGTTTTGAAATGACCTAAGGGAATCGGGAAATTTAACTGTGCTCATTTGCTACATAACAGAGGGAAGTTATCTAGCCCACCAAAGTGAAGATTAGAACAGTTTTGCTTTAGTTACCTGGACTTCTTCTTAAGATGGACTGTCGTACAACATCGGTGCCCAGAACATTGACTTGCTTGAAACGCTTTGCCTTTTCTTCAAAAAACCATTCACCAGTTACAATCCTTAGCTGCCTACTCAAGGGAAAAGAGGAGAGCATTGAAATTCAATTATTTAGCCAAATAATAAGCTCTCAAAAATCCCTAATTAAGTAAAAAATTGCCAATTATTTATAGAATCCATCTCAATCTTTGGAATATTTTATAGTGATTATCATGGCCACTATTAGTTGAATACGTACTATGTACTAGGTACTTGCTAATTGCTCTTCATACCTAATATATTTTTACCCACATAACAACCCTGTGTAAACATTATTATCTCCATTTTATAGATCAGGAAACTGAGACTTAGAGCAATAAAATGACATGTCTCACACATAGAGCCAGGATTCCATCCCAAGCAGTCTGGCCTACAGCTCAAGTTCTTAACCATTGCATCAGTGGGTCAATAATCCTCACTGGAAACAATGGAGAACAAATGAAGGTTGTGCATTATCAAGGGTCCATGACTCTGTTTTAGAATGACACCTTGATGTACCATGATGACTGGGTTAGAGTAAAGAGAGACTGGGACAAGGAGACAGACTGGCCATGGCAACAGTCCAGGAGAGAGATGACAAGACCCAGGCTAGGGCAATGGCAAGCTAAGAGAAAGGAGGAGATAAATTAAAAATGTAGGTGGTGGAAAGGCCTGTCTGCGTTTCACAATCAATTGAACGTTGAAGGTGGGCAAGAAGGACCTTTCAACAATCATAGCCATCTGCAATGGTTACACAAACCTTCACCCTTGTCACATAGGCCTATTTTCCATTCTCAGAATATGGCCCATGTTCGCCTACTACTGTCCCAACACCTCAATGCAGGATTATAATGGAAAATGAGGTTGAAATGTAGGATTAGGTCACATAATAGAAATCTTTGAATGTCAGGCTGAGGAGATGGAATGCTATTTAGGAGGCAATGAGGAACTCTGGCAGTTTTTCTAAACTTCAGGATGGATCATATAATCTCTGGAGCATTATGAAGAGGAGAAAACCAGAAGCAGGCAGACCGATTAGGAAGTTATTGCAGCAGGCAGGATAGGAAATGATGAAGATGAGTATTTGGGTATCGTGGGGGTAAGGAGTAAAAAGAAAGATAAAAGTATTTGGACCACTGAGGATGTGAACCAGCAAGATGGGTGACGAGTCTGACATGGTGGCTGAAGACAAGCAGCTGAGAGCCCATTAGCGATTTCTAGCCCTAGAGTATTATATCCATGTGATTCAGTAACTGATTGGACTTAGAAATTAACAATTGTATCTTAAACATACAAAAATCACTCCAGAAAAATATGTCAACTTGTTCTGTGCAGCAACCACCCTGAAACACAGTACTTCTGAACTACTTCTGCTGCTTCCTAACAAAGGTAAGTTATGTATGAAACACAGTTCCACTCCAGATTTACTCTCAAGTGGCTAGATCACCTACTGAGAAGCAAAGAATATTAGATTCGCTCCATTACTATATAAAATATACCAAGAACTAAATACTGGGATGCGTTATTTCTGGATACATCTCAAGTGATCTATAGACTTATAAATTCTTAAGATGTTGCCTTCCTGTCCCTTAATTTATTCAATCAAATGCTAATCTAGGTACTGCTGTGATTGAACTTTGCAGAGGGAAATGAAATGACTTATCAGCTGACCTTAAAATAGGGAGATTGTCCTGGATTATCTGGGTGGCCCCATAGTAATCAGTGAATCCTTAAAAACAGAGGAAGAAAAAGAGGAAGTCGAATACTGCGATGCTGCAGAATGGGAAGTGAGAGAGATTCCAAACGTGAGAAGAGGGCTCTGAGATGCAGAGGTCCACGTGCAAGGACCAGAGAGAGAGAAGCAAAGGCTGGCTCTCAGCTAAGAGGCAACAGGGAAACAGAAACCTCTTTCCTGCAAAGACTCAGAATCTGCCCACCAAAACGAGCTGGGAAGTGGAATCTTCCCAGAGCCTCCTGATATGAGCTCAGCTGACCAACACCTTGATTTCAGCCTAGTGAACCTTGAGTAGAGACACCAGCCAAGCCAACCTAGACTTCTGAGCTCCGGAACTGTCAGATCATATATTGATGTTGTTTTAAGCTGCTAAATTGTGGCAATTTGTTATGGTGGCAATAGAAACAATAATCCAACACAAAAACCGATTTCTTTGAATATTCAGCTCAAGAAATGGCTGGTGCAAGTTGTAAGAAGATAAATACAGAAAATTCAGAGGAACAAGAGGGCAGAGGTAGGCAAACTATGGCTTGGGGGCCAAATTCGCCCCACTACCTGTTTTGCCTGGCCTACAAGCTAGGGATGGGTTTTACACTTTTAAATGGTTGGGAAAAGTCTAAAGCAGGATATTTCATGACACGTGAAAATTATATGAATTATATTCCAAATTCAGTGTCTGTTAATAAAGTTTTATTGGAACACAGCCACGCGCGTTTGTTTATGTATTGTCTCTGGCTGCTTTTCTATGACTGCAAATTTGAGTATTTGTGGCAGAGACCACAGGGCACACAAAGTCTGACACATTTACTGTCTGGCATTTTATTTTTTAAAAGTTCGCCAACCTCCATAATAAGGCAAAGAATTTACACAAAACGAAACAAGAACAAGGGGAATACTATAGATCAGTGATTGAAAGCCACCCAATAGTGGCATGTCAAAGTCTTAGCTCCTTTTTTTTTTTTCTTTCTGGTATGTTCTTGGGATATAAGGTGAGGTGGACAGCACAGTGACAGCAGTTTCAGGTGTGACAGGGGGAAGTGGGACACACCAGGTCCACATGCCCCAGGAAATGGGCCTCTGTATCATCTTCACCATACATGCCTAAAGTTGCCAACACCTAACACAAATAAGATCTTCCCAGAACTGCTAGTCATTACCTCTTACTGCTCTTGTATGAACAATAACTATAATCCTCATATTTGCTTGACTCGGATAATGTACATTTGTCATTTTACAACAGTCTCTTGGGATTATGCCTTTGCCATCATCTCAGGTCTTGGAGGTAGACGGAAGGCTTAGCAGAAGACCAGGGAACTAATACCTAGTGAGTGTGTATCATGCACCAAGTCACGTGCTAGGCACTTACACATGACATCTGTAAGCCTCACTGTAAGCCATAAAGTAGCCACACTAGTCTCAATTTGTAGATGGGGAAATCAAAGCTCACATGGGTTAAATTACTTGCCCAAAGTTATAAAAGTATTATGGCAAAAACAGGATTTGTACCGAAAGCTTGTACACTTTACATGTGGCAAAATTGTCTGAAGAGAACTTGTAGCTGCCAGCTATGACAAGGCTTTCAATAAGGGTGAAAACCTACAGAAGCCGAGGAATAACAGGTAATATGATGGGCTGTGATTGTGTGTGTGTGCGCACACGCGCGCATCTCTGTGTTTGGGGTAGAGTGATAGGAATAAAAGAGGGGTGAAAGAGGAAAGAAAAGAAACATGACACGCACTATGAAGTTTATATCCCTCTCTGCCACATCAATCTAATAGTTCAGAAAGACAAGGTCATACCGTGAAGAATGAGTTTGACTGAAATTAAGTACCCAGTATTCAGAATTTGCTAGGCCCTAATTTCCTTTAACATTAAACTCCTGGGACTTCAAACTTTTACTTGAAGCTTATTTAAATGTAGTCAAGTTCTCCTCAAATTTATAGGGGGAAAACAGGCAATCTTACTCTAAAAAAGAAGACTAGTGACCAAAAGATTGATTTTCCTCCTTTATCTTCTATTAACTACTGGAGATATGAGATAAGATATGCTTATTAGATATGCTGAAATAAGATGAGTTTCCCTATTATTCATAAAGAAACCAATTAGAATTATTTATAAATTTATTCATTACACATCATATATTTATTGCCTTCCTATAAGTGTTAAGCCCTGTGCTAAGGTTAAGAGTACAGACGTGAATAAGACAAACAGTGACCCTGGCTTTGTGAAGATGATGGTATATATTTAATCCTTTCTTCCTTTCCAACAGGAAAAGTAAAAAGAAATCCTAAGACACCTTAAGGTGAAACTGCAGAACACTACAGATAAAAAGAACATCTTAAATGTAGCTACAGAGGGGGAAAAAACCAGATTACAATACAAAGGAATGATGCTTAGAATGACAGCTGACTTTCAATAGAAATAATGAAATCCAGAAGCCAGTGAAATGCTATCTTCAAAGTCCTGAGAGAAAATAACTATCAATCTAGAACTGTATATGCAGAGAAACCACTGTTTAGGAAAAAGGGTGAAATAAAAAAATTTTCAGTAAAATAAAAAATGAGTTAATTTACTATTAATAGAGCTTCACTAAAGGAGCTTCTAAAGCCTGTACTTCAAGAGGAGGTAAAGTAGACCTGAGACATAAAAAGGAAGGGTGAAAAATGAAATTGGTAAAACATGTGGATAAATCCAAACAAATGTTGATGTATAAACAAAAATTATAATATCTAAATTGTTGAACTGAAAAGAAGATATGTCTAAAATATAGGACAAAAAGTATATACAAGCAAGGATGAAGATATCTGGAGTTTAAGAATTCAAGTTCCTTTTACCGATTAGAAGAAGGGTAAAACTAATGATTTATCAAATTAAATATGAATGTTGTAATTTCTAGAGTAACCACTCAAAATAAAAACTCATAATATTTGCACTAGTAGAAAGGAAAAAATGGAGACAAATATAGTACTTTGATCAATCTATAGATAATATAAATAAAAGCAAATATTATAGTAATCACAATACAAAAGTAAATATTACAGCAATTACAATGAATATAAGCAGACTGAACTCTACAGTTTAAGAAAAAATATTGTCAGATTAAACTTTAAAAATTATACATAGCACATACGCATAGTATGTTTATGTATATGGAACACATATTATGTAGAGAGCATATATGTATAGCAAATATTTAAGTACATATAACCTATTTAAAATAGCATATATGCTATATAGAAAAATTTCATTTTAAGCATATAGACATGGAAAGGTTGAAAGGCAAATAGTAAAAAAACATATATACCATGTAAATATTAA